TCAGTGACGTTGAGCTTTTCTTCATATATTTGTTGGCTGCAAAAATGTCTTCTTTTGAGAAGTATCTGTTCATGTCCTTTGCCCATTTTTAATGTTTTTTTTTTTTCCTTGTAAATTTGTTTAGGTTCCTTGTAGACCTTGGATATTAGACCTTCATCAGGTGGAAAGATTGCAAAAATTTTTCCCCATTCTGTAGGTTGTCTGTTCACTCTGGTGATAGTTTCTATTGCTGTGTAGAAGCTCTTAAGTTTAATTAGATCCCATTTGTCCATTTTTGCTTTTGTTGCAATTGTTTTTGGTATTTTTGTCATGAAATATTTGCCTCTGCCTATGTCCTAAATGGGATTGACTAGATTTTCTTCTAGGGTTTTTAGTTTTGGATTTTACATTTAAGTCTTTAATTCATCTTGAGTTGATTTTTGTATAAGGTTTAAGGAAGGGGGTTACAATTTTCCACGTATGGCTAGCCAGTTCTCCCAGCACCATTTATTAAATAGGGAGTCCTTTTCCCATTGCTTGTTTGTGTCAGGATTGTTGAAGATCAGATGGTTGTAGGTGTGCAGTCTTATTTCTGAGTTCTCTATTCTGTTCATTGGTCTATGTGTTTGTTTTTATACCAGTACCATGCTGTTTTGGTTACTGTGGCTCTGTAGTATAGTTTGGAGTTGGGTAACATGATGCTTCCAGCTTTTTTCCTTTTGTTAGGATTGTCTTCACTATTTGGGCTGTTTTTTTTTTTTTTCAGTTCTGTATGAATTTTAAAATAGTCTTTTCTAATTTTTTGAAGAATGTCAATGGTAGTTTAATGGGAATAGCATTGAATCTATAAATTACTTTGTGCAGTACAGTCATTTTCATGATATTGATTCTTCTTATCTATAAGCATAAAATGTTTTTCCACTTGTTTGTTTCCTCTCTGATTTCCTTGAGCAGTGGTTTGTAGTTCTTCTCAAGGAGGTCCTTCACTTCCCTTGTTATCTGTATTCCTAGGTATTTTATTCTTTGTGTGGCAATTGTGAATGGGACTTCATTTATGGTTTGGCTCTCTGCTTGCCTGTTGTTGGCATAAAGGAATGCCAGTGATTTTTGCACATTGATTTTGTAAGCTGAGACTTTGCTGAAGTTGCTTATCAGCTTAAGAAGCTTTTGGGCTGAGATGATGGGGTTTTCTAAATATAGGACATGTCATCTGCAAACAGGGATAGTTTGACTTCCTCTCTTCCTATTTGAATACTCTTTATCTATTTCTCTTGCCTGATTGTCCTGGCTAGAACTTCCAATACTATGTTGAATAGGAGTGGTGAGAGAAGGCATCCATGTCTTGGTATACTTTCTTTTTACCCATAAATCTACCTTACTTCTTTAATGGCTGCAGAATATCCCATGGAGGGCCTGACATTGTCATCCGAGAATCTGACACGATTGACAGTTCATTTGAAGCCTATCTCTTTTTAATTCAGACAGCTGGGCTCTGAATTAATAGAGATAGGCTTCAAATGAACTTTCACTGCTTGTTATTAAATAGTCCATGGGCTTTTTCTAGCAATATTTTTATCTTAGCTGTCAGAAAGCTCTGTATGAAATGTTATTCTCGATTACAATCTTAGGACCCTGGTGCAAAGATTTATGTAATTATAATCTTAGGACCCTGGTACATAACTCCTTTAAAAATTTGTATTCTAGTTTCCATATTAATTCTTACTTAATTTTTTTTATTTTAGGTAAAATATAAATCAGAAATAAAAATACAATGGCTTATCAATTAAAGCTCTAATAATGACCTATATGAATTATTTATAGCATAATGAAAGCCGCTAAATTACTTGCATCTTGTATTTATTTGTTTCTTATTTATTTATTTATTTATTTATTTATTTATTTATTTATTTATTTTTTGAGACGGAGCCTCACTCTGTCGCCCAGGCTGGAGTGCAGTGGCGGGGTCTCGGCTCACTGCGAACTCCTCCCCCCGGGTTCACGCCATTCTCCTGCCTCAGACTCCCGAGTAGCTGGAACTACAGGCATGTGCCACCATACCCAGCTAATTTTTTGTATTTTTAGTAGAGAGGGGGTTTCACCGTGTTAGCCAGGATGGTCTCAGTCTCCTGACCTTGTGATCCACCCGCTTCGGCCTCCTGGAAGTGCTGGGATTACAGGCGTGAGCCACTGTGCCCGGCCAATTACTTGCATGTTTAGGAGGCAAAGCTGAACAGAAAAATACAATGTTGTCTACAATATGCATAACCTATGCAACTATACCATTATTCACCTTAAAAAGCTTACATGCATTCTAATGGGAAGATGATTATTTATGGTATATATAAAGAAAAATAGTTTATAAAAACACCACCATCTAAATTCAAAAGTTCAACCACATTACTAAGGGATTTATATAAAATATAGACTCTATATTTAAATAAATATAAAATGTCTTGAAAACCTTGAAATATTTACTAAAATATACTATAAAACAGGGCTTGTAAAGTCATCCCTACAGAGGCAAGGGAGATGACCTGAGGAAGTACCTAGGTAGGCACAGTAGCAGAACGGAGACCACACGCCTCATAGAAAGGGGCAACCTCTGCACAGCATCCTAAACGTGAGATAGGCTCAAGGGACACCAGATTGGATTCTTGAAGAGAAGCCTGGAATCCAGATCTGTGCGTGAGTCTCCTAAACCTTCCATGTTGAGACAATTTATAGAGGCAAACTAAACATATGTATGGGACACATTTAGACTATAGACCTTGTATTTTTATATTTGCTATGGATATGTCTCCAAGCGATTATATATAAAGCAAGTATTTTCATGTAAAATACTTCCTTTCTTTAGTTTCAGATTTTTTTTCCAAAACAGGCCCAAGAATGCAATAAAAATTGTTACTAAGAGTCGTAATACCCACTTTAAGCACTTTTACAACATGCATGCATTTATAATTTATGTTTAATTTTCCCAGACTGTTCGTCAAATGGATAATTAGTTCATAGGACTCCTGCAACTATATTATTAAAATAATATTAAATTACTATTCTAGTTTCCATATTGTTACCTAATTTTTTTATTTTAGGTAAAATATAAATCAGAAACAAAAATACAATGGCTTATCAATTAAAGCTCTAATAATGCCCTATATGCGTTCTCCGTATTCTTATTAACTTCATGGTTTTCAGCGTTTAAAACTGCTATCCTGATTATGCCATAGTTCTATGTACTTAACTGACATACTGAGGCAGTCCATAATAGAGCTTCAGCTTTAAAAAAAGGTTTAGAATTTTTTATATTGTAATTGAGAGAACCCTGCTTTTAATAATGATGTATTGACCTAATCACCAGAATGATAACAAAGAGACTCAAAGTCCTGAAAGAGTCAGTCTCTACTTATTAAAAGAGTACCCAATAGTAAATTTCTAACGACCCTATGAATGGCAGTGAATAAGTGATGGTGGCAAAGAAAAGGTGTTATTCTTCAGCTGATAGATACTGCAAATAATAGTCCTTTTAACTTCCCAACCACAGAAGTAGAGACAGATAAAAGTCAGGCTAATATTATTGGAAAGGAGAAATTTAAAGGAAGCAGCGCCTATCATCCAACTCTTCTACAGATTTTTTACGTTTTTGAGATATGGGAATTTACCATACACTTATCTATTCAGTGGTTCTTAACCAGCAGCCTATCAGTGTCTCAAGAAATTTGTTATTGTTGTTGTTGTTGTTGTTGTTAGAGACAGTGTCTTATTCTGTTGCTCTGGCACCACCATGCCCAGCTTCAAGGAAATATTTTACAACATACATGTCCAGTAATATTTAATAGTAAATATTAGATTTACTATATTAAAATCATCAGGGGATATCCTAGACTTAGAGATTTGCTTTTAATTTCCCCAGGTTACTGTCATGCACAATTCTAACTGTGGACTAGCACAGTTGATAATCACTTCAGTCTCATCTCTCACCTACATGGCAAATGCCCTTTATCATTTGGGATTTGGCCGAAAAGAGGAAAGAGCAAAAGATAGAGCCGTTCACTGAAAACTCCATTTACTTTTCCTGGGTAGGGGTAGAGAAGAGACTAGTAAACTCAAAATCCAACTTGATTTTACTATTTATAAGCTCCTTATCTCCCACCTGCCCATCAAGACATTGTGGACTTGAGAGTAGAGTTTAGATGCTTATCTAAGTGGCTGTTTCTGCCAGAATTGAATAATATCCATTAATTGTGTGTTCTTCTCTCTGCTGAACTGTGTGCCACTTCATCGCCTCTATTCACTGCCAACCTGGTTTCCTCAGAGTCCTACCAAAACTGATCCCCAGGCAATTTAATAACTCACAAACTCTTTCCCAAAGTAAGAATAATCATCCCCAAAACTGAAGAGATCCTTGTCTAAACATATAGACAGAAAACAAACCACAAAACACACAAAAACCCTCTCCACAGTATTTTCCCTCATTACCTAATTTCCAAATTAGCTTGTGCATTTCTGGTTGCTCTCCTTTTCTTCATTTTTCCCGCTTAAGCCTTTCCACAGAGGAATCACTTTCAAATGAAATCACCTTCACATACAATACTTGTCAATAGCAGCAAGAAGGACATTTATTGTGAAATGCTTTAACTTTCTTTGAAATTTAAAATAAAGCCTATTAATAAGGGCAAATTTTACTTTCCTGTGTCACTTCACACTGATTAGAAAAAAAGTAACTTAGTGGAAAACCACTTAACTATTCCCTTTCCCAAATTCAGTTGTCATGAATTATAAATTTATTGTAATTCATTTGTTTTTATAATTATTTACCATAAGTGCATGAAAAAAAGCTGTACCCTATAATGCTTCTTTAAAAGTTCCAGTATTTAAAGTAAAATCTTAGACAGTTAAGGCATTTCAAAGTATTTTCATTCAAGGAATGTTTGAGCTTCCAAATATGAAAAATTGACTCTAACATGTGTCAACGTTAAAATAAATGTATTTCAGATAGTTTGAAAATAACGCTGGTTGATCTATACCTTGCTGCATTCTTCAATATCTGTATCATGTAAAAGAATTTTTTCTATCCTGGATGTATCTTCATTATACACAGCATAGTGTAGAGCAGTCCTTCCATAGAAATCCATAATATTTGGATCGGCACCATTTTTCAGCAGAATAGTTGCACAAGCCTCCTGCCTCAGTTGTACAGCCTGTCAGTATTAGACCAAGAAACATGCAAATACTGAAAAATCAAAATAAACACTCCATATGATTTACTAACTAGTTATACAGTGGTATCCAATGAGATAAGTTCTTTTTATTCTATATACTTAAACCAAATCCATCTTATGCTCAAAGAGTCGGCTACTATATACCTTGACGAGGGGTGTCCTGCATTCACGGTCGTAGAGGTTAAGCTCACATCTTCTGGACACCAGGAGAGATATGACTTCCAGTTGGCCAGTGGCACAGGCCAAAGGTAGGGCAGTCCTGTGAGAGTGACAGGACTTTTTAAAACAGGTAACTGTAAGCATTAATTAGCGTGTTATTTCTCTGTCTTCAAAACAAATACTTAATTTTCTTGTGAAGAAAGTACAACCTTTGTTAGCGCTTATTACTCACCACATTAATGAAAGAGCAGGCTATTTAATAGAAAAAGCTTGACTTTTGGATTCAGTTTAATTGGGGCTTAAAATTTACTTTCAGCTCTGTCACTTAGCTATTATTTAGCCTTTCTTTGCTTCAATTTCCTTATCAATAAAATATATGAGAGAATAGTAGCTATCCCACAGAACACTGCTGTGATGCTTACATGAGAATCTATGTACAGCATTTAGAACACTTCCTAACACAAATAACAGCTCAATAATTTTTAGATATTACTTCTTATAAAGACATTTTAATTAAGTAAAATGATACAATCATATCTATATTGAGGTATCTATTAAAGATTAGATGTATCATTGTATTTCAATCATTCTCAGATGCTCATTTTCTCACTATTCTCTTATATAGTAGCATCTCCTGACATTGGGATACTGTTTACAATTCATTATTTATTACAATTATAACTGGCAACATTTTAAACATTATCTTATTGATATATAAAGTAATGTGGCATCACACAATCCATGATGCCTTACATTAAGTACATAGAACAGGCAGTTCTACTCATATAATTGGCACCTAAATAAAGTACTGTGGAAATAGAAGGCAAAAATAAAAACAACAAATTTTTAAAGCAAAGTAATTCTTACTTCAATTTTCAAAAAAAAATAATCCAAAGAAAACTCAGTATTCAAATGAATGGGTATGGCTCATTTTTTTTCAATACCTATAGAATGTTATATAAATTAGGTATTTGCAATGATTAATAGTAAATTTGAGACTGTCGTAAGTTTTTGAAAGGTCAGTTAAAGGTTATCTTTTACTATTTTCTAACTTCAGAATTGCTTTTGTTTCAAAAAAAAAGAAAAAGGAATAAAAGATCCAATTGGGATTCAGTCCTAATGCTTCCATCTTAAATCTCTCAGCTTGCTCAGGCTGGGCAGCTAAACATGAAGTTGTTAAGGGTGGAAGAGTCCTGAGAGATGGTAGAAAGTGTCTGCTACATAATAGGTATTCAGATCATGCTTGATAAATAACTGGATTGAAAGAATGCATACATACAGTTGGGGAGTTTATTATGAAAAAAACTATAAATTAAAGCAGTGCTTTTGGAATAGTGATAATCACTTATATTTGCTCGTTTTCATTTTCATGAGGACACTGGTAAACTAAAATGATTAATTTAAAATTGTTTGCATATATGTAATAAAAGTATAATAAAAACATATTTGTCCACTAAAATCTATGCATAATAAAATAATCAAGCACATATAAAAATATTCCCTCTACCTCTGAAGAGGCTAAAAGTTCACAGAAGATACCAATAAAAAAAAAAATAAAAATAAGGCCAGGCACAGTGGCTCACACCTGTAATCCCAGCACTTTGGGAGGCAGAGGCGGGGGGATCACCTGAGGTCAGGAGTTTGAGACCAGCCTGGCCAACATGGTGAAACCCCATCTCTACTAAAATATACAAGAATTAGCCAGGCATGGTGGCGCACACCTGTAATCCCAGCTACTCAGGAGGCTGAGGTGGGAGAATCACTTGAACCTGGGAGGCAGAGGTTGCAGTGAGCTGAGATCATGCCACTGAACTCCAGGCTGGCAACAGGGCAAGACGCCGTCTCAAAAATAAGCAAACAAACAAATAAATAATAAAATAAAATAGAAAGTGACAATTATTTTTTCTGTGCAAGATTTATATTTCTTCTTTTCCCAAGGATAATTTCATTAATAAAAAACATTTACTAGAAGTTTTAAACATACTGATCATTTACACATCACAGATAAGAAAAAAATCACAATATACCTTCCAGAAAAGAAGAAATGCTATATTTTGTACACATATTTGGCTTACAAACACCATAGACTGTGTATATGTATCATCAAAGTACATCTTCACACCTCATCATACATCTGTATCTACTGACAGCTGCAAAGGTCCCCTATTGTCCCATCCTATGGATGCAGTGAAATTTATTGGTAAATTTATAAAATTTATAAAATCCATTATAAGGGGTTTTCCAAATACATTGCTATTTTAAGCAGTGCTGAGAAAAATAAATTGCATGTATCTCTATTTCCTAGAGATATTTTAGTATAATGGAATTGATGGGTGAAGGGCACATACATTATTTTAAAGTGTAATACTTACCAACAAATTTTCTATTTGAAAAGTCATCAGAAACGTAAACTTTAAACAGCAGTATATGTACTGCTACTCTTTACCCTCACAAACTTGTGGATAGAAAACAGTGTTTCAGTATTTCATTCCTTTTTTTTTTTTTTTTTTTTTTTTTTTTTTTTAGATGGAGTCTTGCTCTATTGCCCAGGCTGGAGTGCAGTGGCATGATCTTTAATTTTTTGTATTTTTAGTAGAGATGGGGTTTCACCGTGTTAGCCAGGATGGTCTTGATCTCCTGACCTCGTGATCCACCCACCTCGGCCTCCCAAAGTGCTGGGATTACAAGCGTGAGCCACCACGCCCGGCCTCCTTTTTTAACTTAAATAACTTCTCCTCCCAGGAGCACTAAACATTTTTTCATATGTGCATAGGTTGCTTGAATATCTGAAAAAAAAATGTTTTGCTCTATTTTAAATGAGTTCTTATTGATTTGAACAATTCTCTGTAAAATGAAAATCACTTTTTTATCTAATATGTATATATACATACTGTCTTTTGTTAATTTTTTTCTTATAAACAGGTTTTAATTTTTTATTTTGCTAAATCGACCTTCAGAATGTGTGCTTGTGATATTTGTAGGAATATAAACATGTATCAATATAAGTAGGCATTTGTGTTTTTTCTGTTACCTTTCTTATTTTGTGCATTTAAAATGTTTAATCTACATTCCATAACGAACTTATTTCTGTGACATAAAAATCTAGCCAGTTTTCTCCAAATAGTTAGCAGGCACTTCATTTATGAGTAATTCACCTTTTCCTACTAATATGAAATGTCACCATTATCGAATTCTATTAGATTGGTGCAAACGCAATTGCGGTTTTGCCATTACTTTTAATTGCGGCAAAAACCGCAATTGCTTTTGCACCAACCTAATAAATTCTTACACATATTGGGGTGTTCCTGGATTTTCTAACCTGTTCCATTCACTGATTTGTTGTTTCAGCTGTTAGTAAATAACTTGTGGAAATTAAGCACATTTTCATATCTAGAAAGGCAAGTCTTTCTGACTCCATTTCAAAAGTTTTGTTACTGTCATCACAATAGTAAAAGACAGCACGAGTAATTTTAACACTCTGATAACTTTATTTGGATTATGTAAAATTTAAAAACACAGAAAGAGCTCAGAACTTTAGAAAAATGTGTCTTTCTGTTCAAGAACACAGACCACCTTCCCACTTCAAAGTTTCCCTCTAAGGTCCCTCAGTGAAAACCATATTGACATAGGTGTCTACTGATATAAAATAAATATTGGATTTTATCCAAAGAATTTTTAGCCAGGAAGTTGATATATTATGGAAATGATTTCTCTCACTATGCACCTTTCCATAATGCATGTAACATTATGCTTTAAAATGTGTACATTAAAAATAAAACGTTGTACATGCTGAATTTTATTAATGAAATCACTTTAAAATGATTTATAAAGCAGCAGCATGCTGAGCGATTGGAAACCAGCTAAAGTTTTGCTTTTGTTTTGCTGCTCATGAAACTGGCCTGGGTGCTCGCCCCCGCCAAGGTTTCCACATCCCAGGTGCAGCTGAGCCTGCCACGGAAGAAGGTCCAGCCCCTTTGGTGACAGGATTCGCCCCCCTCACCTCTGCGCCCCTGTCCCCCACCCCATTTACCCCCACACCCAGTCGTCTATCCCATTGAACCGTCACCCCATCTCCCCACCCCACACCATCCACAGAAAACCAAACTCCCATTTTTAAAACTATCAGATCTCATGAGACTCATTCACTATCACAAGACCAGTGCAGGAAAGAGCTGCCCCCATAATTCAATCACCTCCCACCAGGTTCCTCCACGACCTATGAGAATGGTGGTAGTTACAATTAAAGATGAGATTTGGGTGGGGACACAGCCAAACCATATCACTTTCTGTGTGTCACTTGAGCTTTTTTTTTTTTTTTTGAGACTGAGTTTTGCCCTTGTCACCTGGGCTGGAGTGCAATGGCACGATCTTGGCTTACTGCAACCTCTGTCTCCTGCGTTCAAGCAATTCTCCAGCTTCACCCTCTCAAGTAGCTGGGATTACAGGTGACCGCTACCACACCCAGCTAATTTTTTGTATTTTTAGTAGAGATGGGGATTTCACCATGTTGGCCAAGCCTCCACCAGTTCCCCCAGTCCTGGGACTGGCAAACTGTGAGTGAGACTCATTCATGGACTGTAACTCTATTTAGTGGATTGTTAACCAGCATTAAGACTGAAGCCATAATGGTTCACACCTGTAATCCCAGCACTTTGGATGGGAGGATTGCTTGAGGCTAGGCATTTAAGGCCCACCTAGGCCGTAAAGTGAGATCCTGTCTCTAGAAAACATTTCAAAAAATTAAATCCCAAGTATTCATTCAAGCTGAGCACCTACTCTCTCTCTCTGCCAAACACTGGCGATACAAAAATAAACAAGACAGACATGGCCCCTACCTATGGAGCCTGATGCGTAATGAGGGCGATAGAGAACAGCCAAGCAAATCTGTAACGGTGCTGTGCCTGTCACGATCCAGTAGGAAACAGAAACCATAACAGGTGCTTCACACGGAGGGGATTCAATACAGGGACTTGTTGACACAGTCGTTGGAAGGCTGGATGAACAGAAAGAGGCCACTGAACAATCCAGAGAATAATAAGCGCTCACAGCAGCTGCCGCCCACCCCCAGAATCAGGGACAGAAGGGCAGCGACACTGATGCTCAAACCTATAGATGAAGCTGTCCCTGCCTTGCCAGTGCTCAGACCAGTGTGGGTGCTGGGAGACAGTGGTCACCCTAAAGAAAGGGCACTGGGACCCTCATCTCCAGCTGCTGCTGCTGATTCTGGAAAGACAATGGCAAGACCTGGAAAAGGCAGCAGGAAGTTTTCCCCCACTTCTCTCCTAACATCCCAGCCTCCCTCCAAGTCCTCCCCTGCCAGAACCTAGCAAACACCCAGTCACGGAGGGAGCCCACACCACACAGCAGAGAGACGTGGGGAACCACCTGGCCTGGCCCCTCATCCCTGGCCACTCCGGCCCCTGTCGGAACTTCCAGCCCGGGTCTTTCCCTGGCCGTCCAGCAGGACCATGAGCAGCTGTCCCTGAACCAGTGGCCTCTCTCCGCTCGGCCAAGACAGACAACCAAGCACACTGTCAGAAGGTCAGCCCACTCGGAGGGGTCCACAGAATTGACGGCTGCCCTGAAGGAGCCACCGGCTGCTGGCATGGAGCCTAACAGAGAGGCCCGGGTAGTCTGACCCACTGGACCCAGGGTGAGCCCCAGATAAGGAGCCTTGCCAGTAGAAGTGCTGGCTCTCTCCGCCATTCCCAGGAGCTTTCTCCCCGGAGAGCCTTCCCCTGGGCAGGGCAGATCTGTGGGAGTCAGGAGAGGCTCCTAGAGTGTTGTCCAGACTAATAACACTCAGGGCAAAGGGCCCTAGTGGGGAAGAGCTCGAGGACCCT